GGGCCCATGGTTGAGCCAGCCAATTGTCATTTTCTTGTGAAATTCCCACCTATCGTATATCTACGAGAACTTTGCACTGCCCGACAAAAAGAAATACTGCAAAATGAAGCAATACGCACTTTTCACATAAGTCCAACAACGGTCCGAAAGAATGTAGCCCGACCAGGGTATTTGGGCTACTGGATAGCGGACTTGTCTTTTTACTCTTTGCACAGGTTCACGAACTTTTTGTCATGTGGAAACCTGACCTAGTGAAACTTATTCCACTTTTGAACTTCTTGTCATGTGGAACCCTGACCTAGTGAAGCTCCTTGCACTTTATCACTGGTCTGAAATGCATTTGAAACACAAATAAGCCCAAAACACAAATAAGCCCGAGAGGTATGGGCAGTTCATAGCCGGAAGAATAATGCAGAACTTTGAAAAAGCTTTCGAGAACATTAAGCCAAACAACTGCGCTGGTACGTGGGCCACAAAATTCAACGCAGCAACAGCTTGCTTGTACTCTACACATCACACCTAACTTGGTTTCCTGCTCTTGCTGGTTACACTTTTCTATTTTCTAGTAACTGCGATTCCTCATCAAAAGCCGAAGAGCCTTCTCTGCAGCCCCATGGTTCAGTTATTCTACTGTGTCTAGCGCAGTGTACCGCGCTTTTTTCTTCGAAAGCTTAGCCTCATTCAAGTTATTGTAGTATATCGTGCAGTGTATTGGGATTTTTTCATCGAAAGCTTTGCCTCATTTCGGTTACTCTAGTATCTCTTGTAGTGTTCTGCGCTTTTTTCTTCGAAAGTTTGCCCTCATTCCTTTGAAGACTTAGTTGCACTACTGCACTCCATCACGTTTCGAACTGTGCGATTTACGCTTCATGGTACTGCTTTCATTCGATTCTAGTCCGATTTTCAAAAATTCTAGTTCGAATAGAATGCTTCATTAGTTCCCAGATGGAGAAGTAAGCAACACAACTCAGATTTATCCACTGCAAGCGGACAAGTCTGGCTACGTGTCCAATTATCCCACTGTTTCATCGCATAAGGCCCATTGCAACATCGCTGCATGCAGCTATGGCGTTTAATGCCCTCTTCACCTCTTTAGGCATTTTTATTCTGATTTATCTGTTTTTGGTGGCTTCATGGGACTCCACCTTTTCACAGTAATGGCCCACGACCCTATTAGCGTGGGATCCTTGGAATTCACCGGGTTTGGCTGCAGTGCTTTTCCTTTTTGACAGCAATCGAAAATGGGTTTTACACTTCACACTTGGATCAACTGAATTATGAATTATTGACTATCCGAAAGTATACGAGCTTTTTTCTCAGCTTCTGAATCTGTACTGAGTGCTTGTCTGTCGTCAAGCATCTGCATGACTGAATACTCGAATTTTTTTCTCAGCTTCGGGATCTCCACTGAATGCCTGCCTATGGTCAAGCATCTACATGACTAATGCAAGAAATACAGGCCGGAAGGTCTAACGCACATATGAAACTGAACTTATTTCTGATTTTAAAGAAGTTCTTTCTCGTTCGCGTCACCACTTAAGATCACTTTTGTGGTTTAGTGTAGAATGCAGCCTCAGAGTCCCCTAGCACATCCTAGACACCGATACCAGCCAATAAATATTCGTTCGAAAACATCATTCCAGGTTTTTAAACGGTATCTAACATTTTTTTTGTGGAAAGAAACTCTAATTTTGTTACGAGGCTTCTTCTGCAAGATAGCCACTTGAGACCGATGCTGCAGCTTCCTTTGTCGCCTCAACTACTGCCTAATCGGTGAAGTTAGGTCGCGTCTATGTGGTATTTGGTGCTTTTCAAAACTATTTTCTTTTTTGTTGTTCACTTTTTCAAAGTTTATTGTCAAGTGAAGTGCTGAGGCCGTTCCTGGTTCCTCCCGTCACAGCACTAGCCGCTGTGTATTCCGGACCAACGCAGTGCAGCCCAGGAGTGCCCTTCTAGGATATACAATTCAGCGAAAGTGAACTTGTGAAATAAATATAAATATAAAACAAGAAAGAAACTAGATGTTATGCAACAACGCCGAGTTTCTTCTGCATTTAGCCCCAGCATTGAAAGTGCACCGGGCCCCACGATCATGCAGTGATGCAGAGATGAATAAGCACCACGAATCGGCAGACACACTCCTTTCCATTGGTAACTGCAATAATATTCTTTAAAATTTTCAGTTTTTAATGGTGTATTTAATGAATAGAGACGGGTGCTACGCAACACGTGGCCATAATACAAGTCATGGACGAGCCTCGGAGCGCTCAGCTCATGAGCTGTGCCATGCATGCCTCCTGAGCTTCAGGGGCCCCACCTTTCAGAAATGGTTTGAAAGTACAGTCAGAGATTTTAGGAAATTTCCAATTATAAGAATATAACAGGGAGAGAGGCAGTCAAGAGGTTTCAAAACCCACACATCACTGGAGGTGAGTGGGTGCCGTGGCGGCCGCTAGAAGATGAACAGAGAAGCCACGAAATCATGAACACACACATTTTCATACACATTTTCTAGTTTTTCAAATGAAACAGAAATAAATTATGCATAAATGATAGTTAGCAGACCACGAATGGCCTTCTACTCAGGAGGAACTTCAAGCCTGTGGGCTATGCGACCCACGGCATTCCACTAATCTAGTTCCGGTTTTCCATTCTTTTCTTCAAATCATTTGAGAATGCAACATTTATTATTAGCAGATCAAATAGATTTTGTTGTTTTTTCGAAGCATTCCTCAGAATTGCGTGAAAAGAAAAGAACTGGGCGCGGCTGCCGCGAGCCGAAACCCAGAAACGTTCAGGAAACGGTCTACAGAGTTTGTACAACTTTGTGGGGTTTCTCGACCAGTTTTCTAAAGGTGAAATACCTCGAAGTATTCGAAATACATGATTTATTGAAAAGTTTTAAGGGTAAATGCAATAACATTGACACACGACTTTCGACTTGGCGCAGGAAATTCCCCATTTCCGGAACTTTCTCGAATTTGAAAGCTAACCTGAAAAGCATGAAACTGCTGGTAAACTCTGAGCAGCAGCACTGATAGGCTGCTGCTGCTGCTGCGGATCTTGTGAAGAATATGTGGAAAATGCATCAAAAAAGAACTCTTTTTCAGTAATACGTATTGAAACAATTTAAATCTTCAGATTTCTCCGAATAAGCATTCCCTGGCAAGAACCTCCAATAAGGACTTATCGGCTGTTCACCAGCTGCAAAACGGTAATCAAACAACGAAAATAAAAGTGGAGTACACAAAATTCAAAAAAATGGGGCCTTTAAAGATACTTTTCAAGGGTAAAGGAACATTTCAACGGCAAAGTATGAAAAATTCAAAGAGATGTCACTCGCTGTGCATGCAAAAAATGCAGTGTAGCCTTCCCCTGCAAAAAATAAAATAATAAACAATAATAAAATGAAAGGCAATCAATTTTGAAATAAATGTAATTAGCACTAATGTTCAAACAACTGTTGCAGCTGTGTGTATGCAATAGTGCAGCACCACTGAATTGCAAGTTTTGGAGGTTCTCAACTAGCCGAAAATGCAATTTATTGAGTGGCTAAACATTTTCCAAACAATTTCATTAAATTTTCAAGATTTTAATTAAATTTTCAAGGCTTATCATGCTCAAGAGTCTTTTTCTGTAGCTACATTGTGTTTCTTCTTTTTGACTTTTCCACCGAGCCTGGACAGATTCTTGGCGGTACAAAACTAAAATTTTCTTTTTACGAAAAATGAATTTATCTCCAATATCGGGAAAATAACTAAAATTTGCAGAACACCACTGCAAAAAAATATTATTTTTAATTTCTTTTTTTTGCAGTGGTGTTCTAATTCAAAAGGAAACACCAAATAGTATCTGCAGCCAAAAACTTTTCGAGGGGCTTAGTGCTCCTGTGCCTTTTTGCTGCTGCAGCAGCTTCTAGGTTTCTGCTGCTGCAGTGCAGGAGCAAAAAGGCGCAGCAGCGTGCAGGTTTTTGCTGCTGCAGCGCAGCAGCAGGAACTCCAAAGCTCAGAAAGTCTTGTTTAACAACTTGAATGGTTTGCTGCTGTTCGTCTTTTTTGCATTTTCTTGTTTAGTCTTTTTGATTTAATTACCATTTTTTAATTATGGAATATTAAGGGAAATTGAACTTTCAAATGGCAGGGAAGCAGCAAACTGGCGCCCCACAAGCAGCTCACAGATAATGCAATTTGGAGTTTCCTTTTGAATTAAAAGCAGCTGCAACAAAATATTCTTTTTAATTTCAAATATCCAAAAACATAATATTTCTTGAAGTCAAATGATTCATGAAAATGAATCAGACGCAGCCCCAAGCGAGAGCAGCAGCAGCAGTAGAAGACAGAGAAGGTCTTGCTGCTGAGGTGGCAGCTGCTGCAGCTGCTGCAGCGCATGCGTTTAAGAAGAAAACGCGTTTTATTGTTGAAATAATATATTTAATTTGTTTTAATAAAGTTTTTAGAGGCAGTGAGCGAGAGAAAAAGCCAAAAAGACAGCGTGGGGCCCCAGTTCTGCTGCTGCTACTGCTGCTGCTGCTGCATGCAGCGACGAGCAGCAGCAGCCGCCTCTGGTACTCACTGCAGCTGCATGCATGCGTTTTCTGACTTTCCTTGGAAATACAACTTGGTGGAATTTGGGAATTTCAGGGATTCTGCAAACGCGACTCATCATTGGTGTCATCGCAGCCTCTAGCTGCTGCTGCCGCTGCCGCTGCTGCTGCTGCTGCTGCTCTGCGGCGTTGGGGCTGGGGGCCCCCACGCTTGGCGGTCTTGTCTGTTTCTAACTAAAGTCGAAATATATTAATTAAATCACTTTGAGCTTCTTTGCTTGTCTTTTCAATCGAAGGCAGCAGCAGCAGCAGCGGCAGCAACAGCAGTCCGTTTTGCCGCTGCTGCGCAGGCTCATGAGGTGTATGTACAGCCCGTGTCTTCCACCGCTCTCCTCTCCAGCAAGAGTCCCTTATTTAAATAAAAAGCAAAAGGGCCAATTCGGAGCTGCAGCACACCATGCGCTCCCTGGGGGGCGGGCGGCGCGCGCTGCTGCAGCAGCAGCAGCAGCAGCCGCAGCAGCAGCAGCAGCAGCCGCTGCAGCAGCAGCAGCAACGGGCTCGCGGGGCCGCCGCGGTGCTGCGGCTGCTCTCCTGCTGCTCCCGCGCCGCATGCAGCAGCTTTGGGGCTTTCTTTTTGCTGCTGTCTTCCAGTTTGCTGCTGCTGCTGCTTGCATGCATTGTGGCCCCGCTGGGGTGTCTGGGGTTCCCCATGGATGCAGCGCGCAACGCGGAGCTACAGCAGCAGCGGCAGCAGGAGCAGGAGCAGCAGCAGCAGCAGCAGCGGGAAGAAGCCGCGCTGGCGCTGCTTTCTCTCCACGAAAAATATAGTCCTCCTAACTGCAAGTATCATCCTTTGCCTTCTTCTTTGGATTCTTTTGGCCTTTTGAACAACAACGGTGGGCACCTGGGGTGTATGTACAGCTGCCGGGCTGGTGTCAGTTTTGCTTCTTTCCATTTCTTCATCTTTTGCTGCTGCTGAGGCTTTCTTTTGCATTTTTTAATTGTTACTTTTAATTTCCTCCTGTTAGAACCACTTTATTTAATTATTTGATTGGGTTTTTGTCGTTGTTGCATTTTGAAGCCAAGTGCTGGGGTGTACATACACCTCAGGGTGCATGCACAGCTTTCCGTTTTTCCTGCTTTCTTTCCAGCTGTTATCCCGCGGCGTTTTTGTGTCTAGGATCTTTTTTATTTTTGATTCCTAATTTAGTTTTTAATTTATTTTAATGCATTTTAATTTATTTCAACTTGTTTTTGTTTTTAAAGGGGAGCTTACAGTGTCCGATGTCTTCGGCCTCCCGGGCACTTCTGAAAGAGAAGAGTTCCTTATTTCCTTCACCATTCCCGCTGCAGCCCAAGATGGTAAAAACAAATTAAAAGTTATTTTAAACAACCAAACAAATTTTGAATTAGAAAAAGAATAAATATAAATGGAAGAGCTTCAAAAGAACATATTTGAACTCCGAAAATGTTCTTGGAAGACCTTTTTTGAACTTGAGCAAAGTCAACTAGCAACTAAACGTTTGCTTTTTGTTGTTTATCATCTAGACTTTCGACTAAATTAATTAATTTTTAAATTCGAATAATTTATTTTTAATTTAATTCATTTTTCCATTTTGCATATTCTTCAGGCCACTCCGTCTTATCGCTGAGCGCCGATTTACACCGCGACAGTTTTGTGGAGTTTAAGTACCTTGAGGTGTACAGACACCCCAAGCAAGACCCGCCAATGGTCCCCTTCAAACGTAAGTCCTTAGGCGCCACAAATTACCCATTTGCATTTTGATGTATGCATGCATGCATGCATGCATCCATATATCAATATTCATTTGCACCGCATGCATATGCATGCATGCATGCACATCTCGAAATCTCCATTTGCGCCGCATGCATGCATGCATGCATGTATGCGTTTGCAGATGCCCTCGAAACCCCCGCAGCAGCAGAAAAGCACCGGAGAGCTGCACTTCAAAGTGCCAGGTGAGATTATTTTTGAAATTTAATTTTCGGGATTTGTTTTTAATTTTATTTTAATTCAATTGGCTTTTGCACTCGGGGCTGGGCTTTTTAATAATAAAAGGGTTTAAGGTTTAGGGTTTAGGCTTTAGGGTTTAGGGTTTGGGTTTTACATGGGGGCCCTCGCTGTTCGTTGACTTGCGTGGCTTTAACAGTCTGCGGCCCGTGAACCCCAGGGTTTAGGGTTTAGGGTTGAGGGCTAAGGGTCAAGGGTCTAGGGTTTAGGGTTTAGGGTTTAGGGTTTA